CTCAGGCCCTTATTCAAATTACAGCTTCGGGGAGCGGGGCCGGGCAGGGTAAGGTCTTTCCTGACCACACACGTATGGAAACATGCACACAGACAGACACACGCAGACACACGTGAAAACACACATGCGTGTATGCACAGCAGAGAAGCATGGACATAAAAATCCAGGCTACACATTTCCCAAATGGAAATCAATGTCTTTTGGTCGATATTTCACAGCTTTCAGAAAACATTAAAAACATGATGTGCTAGAAGCCTCCATTTAGCCCCTTAAATTTTTTGTGCTCGTGAAAAATACTCCATTGATTGTTGCCTAGATACCGTCATCTTCTGTCCCCCGAAGCCCAGCCTGTGACTCCGGCAGGGAGCCTGGGACCCAGGACAGGCACCCGTCAGCGCTCTGCTGGCCCTCTACCCCTTCACTCACCCATTCTGCCCCGGGTGCTGCACTTGGCTGGCGACCACAGACGGCTCACATCCCACAGGGACCCACGGACAGTCCACGGCAACCAAAGTCCAACATGAAAAGCGCTCCTGGGCTCGGCCGCTGCAGCCGTGCGTGCTCAGGAGGGCGGTGGGGTGGGGGGCTCCCCGGAGCCCAAGGACTCCCCTGCTTCTACAAGGTTCCACAGCCAAGATCTGGACAGTGGCGCACCGGGAGCCCGTCCGCCCGGTCTGTTCAGACGGCTACTGTGTGTCCACTGCAGCAGCCGGGGAACGAAGGACACAGGGTGCGCCTGCAGCCAGAGCCCTCTGCCCCCTGGGCCCAAAGGAGTCCCAGCTGGGCTGCCGGGGGGGGAGCTGTGGCCACCTCTGGACACCTCAGTGCCGTGGGCAGTGCTGGGGACCCAGAGTTACCCTAAAATCCTCTTCCAGGCCCAACATGCGAGCCTGACCCCGAACTTCATCTCCAGTGTGAGGCCTCCTCACCAAATGACCAGGCTTGGACATGCTTCTGGAAACAGTTGCACTTTCCTGGGCGGGAAAGGGGGTTCCGACAGGGGCATCGGGGCTCGAGGCCGGGGCGACTTAGGGAGAATGGGCACGTGGGCTTGTCCCACTGTGTTTTCCCACTTGCCTGCCAGGGCCAAGGAAGCCCAGTCCTGACCACAGACTCAGTCTACACTCTGGTCACACCCGGAGCCCCGACTCAGTCCCAGACCAGCCTTCACGCTTACATAAATTGAGTGAGGGGACTCTGGGGGCACCTTCCCCACTGTGGAGCCTCCTGGCACTTGTCCTCTCGGACGCCTGCTCGGTGGCAGCCGCTGTCCCCACCCGAGTGAGCTCCCCCTCCTGACTCGTCCCTCAGGCCCCGTGAGGACCGGGTGCGAACTGGATGTGCAAGGCCCTCGGTAAATGGGAAAGAGCTGAGCCACGGTGGGGGTGCACAGGGGGTGACCCAGACCGCGGTGTGACGTCGGTTGGGGGGGCTCCTCTGCCCCCTTGGAGCTGCCCGGATGGCAGGGTCTCACCCGTCGCACAGAAACGGGCACATGCACCCGGCCGTCATGTGGGGGGACTTCTTCCAAGTCGGGGAGCCGAGCTCCTCCCCCAGAGACTGCTGTTCTCTGAGGAAATCATACCGCAGCATTTGCATCAAGCCTCTTCCTTCCTCAGAGTGCTGTTTATATTTAGCTGCCTTCGTCCTCAGAGCAGCTCGGTGGGGCGGCAAGGGAAAGAGGGCAGCCTCCCCAGGCCCGCTTCTCTGGGACCCGAGCCGGAGGGCGGCCTCCGCGGCCCCCAGCGAGACCCCGCAGCCCCGGCCGGCTGCTCACAGACAGCATCCGGGTGCCCGGCCCCTCTTCTGGCCCGGCTGGCGCACCTGAGCCGATGTGTCCCTGCGTGGCCCGCGGGGACCCCTGGCCCAGGAAAGGGCTCCAGGGTGCAGAGTGGGGAAGCGGCTGGGTGGCCTCAACTATTCCCCAGCCCCAGAAGGGAAGGGGGGGTGGGAATCTGAAGGGGAGAGAGGGTGTGCTGGCAGGAATCAGAGACCCAGCCCTGGAGGAGGAGCGAGGGGAGGGTCTGGCCCTTACAGCCCCACCTCGCCTCGCCTCCAGATCACTGGGCATCCGTCTGTGGTGCCCCAGCTTCCTCCCAGGCACCTCTGTGTGGCTCCTGCAGACGTGGGTCATGGCTTCAGACAGCAAGATGTCCCCCAGGCCCCCTCTGTCCTGCTGCCCTGCCAAGCCTCTTCCGCCCCTTCTTCTGAGCTCGGCACACGAGGGGCCCAGGCTTTGCGTGACCGAGGGCAAGCCCTGAGGACGGGCCGGTGTCCCCGGCAGAACGGGGCACCGGTGCTGAGGGGCGTCCATCCCGTGGGTAACATGCCTGCCAGCCTCAGGTGTCACACAAGTGGAGCTCTGGCGGTGTCCTGGGGCTGTGGTCACACGTGACCGCAAATGGAGTGACTTGAAACAACAGGAAATGCTCTCCCACAGCATGGAGGCCAAAGTCTGGATGCCCGTGTCCACAAGGCCTCCATGGGAATATGCTTCCTGTTCTGCCCAGGCCCCCACACCTCCAGCCGAGGGGCACCAGCTGTGGACCCCAGCAGGAGGGGGCCGGGGACAGGCTCACTGCTCCTGAGTCCCAGCCGGGGACCTCCCGGGTCGGGGGCCAGGAGGCACCCCAGGAGGATGACAGTCCCCACCAGGGCAGCCACGAGGGCGGGGCAGGGAGGCTGCCTGGGCCCCGCCCCCCCCCCTCACGGGGCTCCAAGGCCTCTGCCCCCTCAGGGGTCCCACCCCACACAGCCTGCCACTTGAGGCAAGCTGCCGACCTCACCTGGAGAGCAGGCCCCTCCCATAGTCCCACCACCCAAGCAGGAATTCTCTCTGCGGGCCCAAAACTTCAGCAGCGAAGGGACCCCGGGGGAGCCGGGCCGCGCGGGGCTGCCGTGTGTCATCGGGAAGTTCTGCAGCGGATCCAGGGATAAGCCGCGTACCGGGCGCCAGGGCCGGTTCACACACAGCGTGCTCCCGGGGAAAGCCAAGACCTTCTGAGTCCGGGGCTCCCTTGGCCCCAGGGTTCAGCCAGGGTGGGGCCCTGCCCAGCTTGGGGCACCAGGAGGACCAGCCCCTGCAGGCTGACAGCAAACGGGTCTCCCTCTCCACCCCCACCCCTCCTTGTTCTGGCTGCCTGCATCCCAGCCCAGCCGTAGGGACAGTGTGACCCAATCGGAGGTTGCCCGCCAGGACAGGGCTCTGGGCTGTCAGGGCTCCCCACTCCTGCCTTGTTGGGGTGGCTCTCAATGAGAGCGGCACTCGTTTTTGGTTTTTGTTTTTAATGTTTATTTATTTTTGAGAGAGAGAGAGGGAGAAAGCGCGTGTGCA